GATCTTAGGTGACCTTCACCTTTGGGTTGATTGCAAAAATCAAACTGGCAGAAACACCCAGAAAGAAGAATTCATATTTTACATCAATAGTTTTCCAGAACAATGTACTGGGGTTCCAACTAGGCTATTTTGGATCTGGTAATGTGAAATAACACAAGTTTTAAATAAATAGAGTCGTAGACATATACAGCACGGAAACAGACTCTTCAGTCCAACTTGTCTTGCTGACCAGATATAAATTTAGTCTCATTTTCCAGCATTTGGTCCATATCTCTTTTAAACCCTTCCTATTGATAGATCCATGCAGATGCCTTTTAAATGTTGTAATCATACCAGCCTCCACTTCTTCCTCTGGCAGCTCATTCTATACACACTGCAGCCTCTGTGTGAAAAAGTTGCTCTTAGGTCCCTTTTATATCTTTCCCCTCTCACCCTAAACCTATGTCCTCTAGTTTTGGACTCCCCCCACCCCGGGGAAAAGGTTTTGTCATTTTACCCTACCTATGCCCCTCATCATTATATAAACCTCTATAAAGTCACCCCTCAGTCTCTGACGCTCCAGGGAAAATAGCCCCAGCCTATTTAGCCTCTCCCTATAGCTCACACCCTCCAACCCTAGCAACAGCCTCGTAAATCTTTTGTCAACTCTTTCAGGTTTCACAACAAATGATATCAGAGTAAAAAGGAAATCAGTTTGAGAGTTAGAAACTTGGGTTGGAAGTACATATGCTAAACTCAGATAAGACATTGCTGGCCGGAGTGGACTGGAAAACCAGTTTGGCAGAATAGACGGTTGATGAACGTTGGCAGATTAAAGAAAATAGTTCACGACTCTCAGTGAAGAGATACCCTAGTGAGGAAGAAAGAAGAGTTAGACCAACAATAGTTAACCAAAGAAGTTAAGGGCAGTATCAAATTGAAAGTGAAAACATATAATGTGGCAAAAATTAGTGGTAAACCAGAGGATTGGGAAAGTTTTAAAAACTAACAAAAGATAACCAGATATGTAGTGGAGGGACAAAATGAACTTTGAGGGTAAACTAGCAAGTAATGTAAAAAGGGGTGGTAAGAACTTCTTTAATTATTTGAAAAGCAAGAGAGAAGCCAAAGTGAACTAGGGTTCTTCGAGAATGAGGCATAGGAAATAGTAATGGGGAACCAGAAAACAGCTGAATAAATACTTTGCATTAGTCTTCATGGTAGAAGACACTAATAGCATTCCAAAGATACAAAATAATTAGGCAAAAGTGGGGGAGGAAATAAATACAGAACAACCATAGATAGGCAACCATAGGACTAAACAGGTCTTTATCCAAATGTCAGGCAGTGATTAGTGGGATACATACTGCAAGGACCGGTGCTAGAATCCTAGCTATTCACAATATATACTAATGATATAGATGAGGAAACTAAATGTAACTTTCAAATTTGCAGATGATACAAGTTTGGGTGGGGAGGGTAAGCTGTGGAGAAGGATGCAGAGGTGCTTCAGTGTGATTTGGATAAGCTGATTGATTGGGCAAATGCATAGTAGAAGCAGTATAATGTAGATAATTGAGAGTTTGGGTCTCCTAATTTGAGGAAGGATATTCTTGTAATAGAGGTAGTGCAATGAAGGGTTTGCCAGGCTGACTCTGGGCAGAACTGACATATGAGGCGAGGCTGATTTGGTTAGGATTATGTTTGCTGGAGTTTAAAAGAATGAGGTGGGGTATCTTATAGGAACCTATAAAATTCAACAATGATACAGGGTAGATGCAAGAGGGATGACCCGGTGGCAGGGGAGTCGAAAAGCAAGGCTCACAGTTGAAGAATACAGGGTAAATCTTTTAGGACTGAGATGGGGAGAAATTTCTTCACCCAGAAAGTGATGAGCAAATGGATTTGACACCACAGAAGGCAGTCAAGGCCAAAACATTGTATGATTTCAAGAGGAAATGGGCACAGCACTTGGGACTAAGGGATCAAAGGACATGGGGGGAAAAGCAGGCACAAGCTATTTGACTTGGATGATCAGCCGTAATCACTGGGAATGGCAAAGGAGTTGCCCACTCCTGCTCCTGTTTTCTATGTCTCCATAGACAGGAAGGAACTTTTCCCCTTGGTGGAGAAATGAATGATGAGGGGGCATAGATTTCAGATACAGGGAAGGAGGTTGAGAAACAGAGGATGGTGGGAAACTGGAATTCACTGCCTGTAGGGGTGGTAGAGGCAGCAACACTCATAACATTTAAGAATTATTTAGATGTGCATTTGTGATGCCAAGGCACAAAAGGCTATGGACCAAGTGCTGGAAACCAGGATTAGAATAGGCAGTTGTTTTTCATTGTTGCAGGCTTGATAGGCTGAAGGGTCTTTTCTGTGCTGTAGACCTCAATGATGGTAACGAGAGAAAAAGTACTAGGGAACCTAATGGAGCTAAAGGCTGCTAAGCCCCCTCAGCCTAATGGGTTGCATCCTAGGACCTTATAGAAAGAACTGCAGAGATTGTGAATACTTTGGTAATAATCTTCTGAGGATCCTTAGATTCTGGAAAGTCCTAGAGGATTGGAAAACTCCAAATGTAACACTTATTTTAAAAAAAAGATCAAAAACAAACAGGTAAAGGGTCTAATAGAGCATTTAGAAATGCATACCGTAACGACACAGTCAGCATGGCTCCATAAAGGAGAAATCATACCGTACACACTTATTAGACTTCTTTGAGGAAATAATGTGGACTTATGCACTTGAACAACTTGACTAAATACAAGAACTGTGGATGAAATGGTGAACCACACGAATTGTGCTGAGCGTGCAAGAAACGGCAACTAGGCTCGAAGAGTGGAATGGACTGAAACTGCAGAAACTACAGCATGAGGAAATCATAGGATAATGGAAACATCTGGAGATGACGGCTACAGAAGTGTGACTGAACAGGTCAGCTGAAGATGAGTGAGCGTTGGGTGTGAATCTTGGAAACATGATTTAACCTCAGCCCAAACATTGATCAGTAGTGAGAATTGCTAAACTGGACTGGGCCTAAAATGTTAACTCTGCTTTCTATCCACAGATGCTGCCAGACCTGCTGAGCTTTCCCAGCAATTTCAGTTTTTGTTTCTGATTTACAGCATCTGTAGTTCTTCCGGTTTTTACTTAGTATTCTGTATAATTTGTAAGTACTTGTAATATCCATTTGTTTGAATAAACTTTAGCCTTTTATCAGTCTGTGTGAGTGAGTGTCATTTGGAAAGCCGCAATAGTAACATGCAGGAAAGGTAAAGGGGAAGCAGTGGATGTAACATTTCCAAAAGGTGTTTGATAAGGTACTACACGTAAGGCTACTTGATAACAGCCAATGCTGTTGGAGGTAGTATATCAGCACAGATAGAGGATCAGTTAACTAATAAGAGGCAGACAGTGGGGATAAAGGGAGCAGTTTCAAGATTGCAACCTGTAACTAGTGGAGCCCCACAGGGATCAGGGCTGGGGCCACAATTATTTATATTTTAATAATTTGGATGGTGGAAGTGAATGTACTATTGCCAAGTTTGTACATAACACAAAAGTAGGTGGGAAGGCAAGTGGTGAGGATGAGACAGAATGTACAAAAGGACATAGACTAGTTAAGTGAGTGGGCAAAAACTTGGCAGAGGGAATATAATGTGAGGTTATGCCCTTTGTAGGAAGAATATAAAAGCTGAATAATATTTAAATGCTGAAAGACTGCAAAAAGCTGCAGCACATTGTGATTTGGGAGTCACTATGCATGAACCACCAAAAACTAGCATCCAAGTTCAGCAGGTAATAGGGAGGCAAATGGAATGTGTGCGGGAGAGAGTGAGGGTGAGTGCGTGTGTTTGGGAGAGTGTGAGAGAGAGAGGGAGTGTGTATGTGGAAGAGTGAGTGTGTGGGAGTCTGAGAGTGTGTGTGTGTGTGTGAGAGAGTGTGAGAGAGAGAGGGAGGGAGGGAGGGTGTGTGTGTGAGGGATAGAGAGTGTGTGTCTGTGTGTGTGGGAGAGAGAGACACATACACAGGCACACACTCTCTCTCTCCCTCAAACGCACACATACACTCACACTCTCACACAAACAAACACAGTCCCACTCTCACACACTCCTACACACTCACTTTCTCTCTCCCACATACACATACACACACACACTCTCCCATATACTCTCTCCCCCATACACTCACTCCCACAGATGCTCACACCCACACACACTCTCTCTACCCCCCTCACACACACACGCATACATTCTCTCGCTCTCTCCCCTCTCACTTTCACACACACTATCAAACACACAGAAAATACACTCTCTTTCTCTCCCTCTCACATACACACACAGTCTCTCTCTCCCTTTCTCACACACACATATATAAATCTATGGGGTGAATTTGTATTTGCAGATACATTTTATTTTCTTCAAAAAGCACACAATTTATTGACAGTTAGTCAATGTGGTATTTTATAAATTCCTACTTTAGAAATAAAACCAGTCTGACTCCAAACCAAAACACAAACAGATTCTAAACAAGACTTCACATCTAACATGCATTGTCTGACCTAAAATGTCACCTCTTCTTTACAATGATAAAACCTTTAGTTCTCTCAGGGCAGTGACTTGAAAGCAATTTGGATATCTACATACACATATTAATCAATTAAAACCTTCTAACTGATTAAAGATTTAACAGCATTTTAGGTTTGTTCAATACATCCTCATCAGTTTTGTGACCCTTTGATCTTTTACTTATAAATTCTGTTTTCTGTGTGCTTCTTTCTCACTTCACCTGATGAAGGGGCTATGCTCCGAAAGCTTGTGTGTTTTCAAATAAACCTATTGGACTATAACCTGGTGTAGTGTCATTTCTGACCTTGTCCAAATAAACTCTGATGTGGAATGTCTCTACTGCACAAACAGTTTAATTCCCCTTCCTCCAGTGGTATGCAGTGTACATGCGGCATCACTCCAGTTTCCCAAGCAGTGGCCCCCTTCCATTGTTGTGTTTGTTCTTACCTGTAGTCCAATGATATTCTGTCCTGCTTTCAGTGTCTCGTTATCAAAAGCTCGTTGCTGCTTTTCTGCATATCTCACACCGATGTCCGATCTTGTATGATAGCCTTTTGTTTTTGCCTGTGAAGAATAAAAGCTTAACTTTGTCTGACTTGCTCAACACAAGAGACAATCTACCAAATAGCTCGTGCTGAGATTAGAATAGTCACAGTGGAAGCACTCACCATGCTAGCCAGGGCCATAAGTGTTGTCTGAACTTGGGTTAAGTTACAACCCTCATATAAATCGTTGGCTTCAAAGCTGTCATGAAGTTTCACCCCATATTTTGTAATTGCTTTGATAAAGTTCCCAATGTTCTCCAGCTGTCAAGAAAGAGCAATCGTGAGCACTACAAACAATTCCCACTCTTAGGAACTGGCTGCTTGTAATTGTATTAGCTTAGGCTGCGAGGGCTAGGACAACTTTCAGAAAAGTGAAAAAAGCTTCTCGCCAGCCGTCCTGCACACACTCTCACCAGTTCTGCACACACTCACTCACGCCATAACACCCAGAGAAATCATTAATTGTATTCTAGACACCACACTATTTAAATTAGTGTGAGGTAGCACACACAAGTTAGCAAAAGTTTGACTGACACATGCCTACACACAAAAGGCCTTTAACCTAAGCATAGCTTCCGCAGACTGGTGAAATGACAGCTAATGTAGATCCATCACATAAATGTAAAGCTGGAAGGTTTTACAAGATAGTTACTATTCTTATTGCAACCATCTTCAAGCAGTACTGAATGCATGATGCATCTTTGCCTCTTACTGAAGTTTTCACCGTCATCAATATCATTCTTGTCCCAATCACCTTTTTATACGAAATGAGGACTGGCTGAGACACAATGTGGCAAAGGCAATGGCCCCTACAACAACAAAAGGAGGAGGATCACCACATCTTCATTTTCAATGAAGACAGGGCCCATCACGAGTGCAAAATCTAAAGCTTAAGTGTTTGCAACTTTCTTCAGCCAAAACTGCTGATTAATATCAATCTCAGCCTTCTCCCACAGTCCCCACCATCACAGATCCCAGTTTTCAGCTCAAATCAATTTAGCCCACACTATAATTAATAACTAAGCACACTGGACTCTACAGAGGCTGTAGACATTGACAATAATCCAGCTGCAGTGCTGAAGAGTTGTACTCTAGAACTAGCTGCAGCTAGCCAAACTGTACCACACTGGCATCTAGCCATGAATGAGAAAATTGACAAGGTATTTCCTATAAACAAAAAGCAGGACAAATTAAATAGAGCCATTTGCCACCCTGTCGGTCTACTTTCAATCGTCAACAAAGTTGATGCTGTTATGAAAGAGCACTTACTCTCTGATGGAACACAAGCTGAGCACTGGTGAGTAGACTGTCAGGATCATTTGACTCTTGGATCTCATTAGAACTTGGTCCAGACGTAGACAAAGAGTGGAATTCCAAAGATAGGATGAAAGTGGCTGTCCTTGATATCGACACCCAAGTGTGACATCAAGGAGCTCCAATAAAATGTAAGTCAGTAGGAATTAAATGATAAACTGTCTACTGATTGGAACCATTCTTGGTTCAGAGGAGAATGTTTGTGTTTCTGGATCTCAGCTCCAGGACATGTCAGGAGTTCCTCAGAGTAATGTCCTAGACCCAACAATCTTCAGCTGCTTCATCAATGACCTTCCCTCCATTGTAAGGTCAGAAGTGGGGATATTTGCTGATGATTGCACAATGTTTAGCACCATTCACAACTCTTCAGATGCTGAAGCAGTCTATGTCCAAATGTAGCAAGGTCTGGACAAAAATCTAGGTTTGGACTGATGAGTGGCAAGTAACATTTGTTTCTCACAAGTGCCAGACAGTCACCATCTCCAGCCAGAGAGCACTGAACCACCTTCCCTGATATTCAAAAGCAATAGCATCATCAGGCCACCCATCACCAAGTTTCTGGGGCTGGGAGGTTGGGTGGTTTGGTTGGGGTTGTGGTGGGGGTGGGGGTGGGTGTGGTCACCATTGACCACAGTCATTACTAGACCCACTATAAATACCGTGGCTATAAGTTTTTAAATTCTACAGTGGGTAACTCACCTCTTGCCCCAAAGCCTTTACCTTATCTGCAAGACACAAGTAAAACTGAGATAGAATACAGTTACCTACACAAGCATTATTTCAACAACACTCAAGAAGCTTAGGAGCATCCAAGTCTGAATGATACCCCTCTACAGCTTAAACATTCACTCCTTCTACCATTGGCACACAGTAGCAGTAGTATATGCCCTCTTCAGGATATACAACACTAACCTCCTAAGCCTTTTTCCATTACAGCTTCCAAACCACAACTTCTACCATTTAGAAGAACAAGGGCAGTAGGCACATGGGATGCCACAACCTGCAACTTCTTCTCCATGTCACACATGTGCTGATTGGAACTATAACAGCACTCTTTCATCATTTCTGGGTCAGAATCTTGGAGCTCTGTACTTAACAGCTGTAGAAATATACCTATATACACAGTTCATGAAGATACTCATTAGTTTTAAAAGGGCAATTATGGATGGACCATAAATGCTGGCCGATTTAAAATTAAACATCCTAAGAAAAGAAGAAAATTCTTCATATTCACACAGTTGCCCAGACCAATTAACTTATGCACACACTTAATCTATTCACTTATTACCTGATGCCAGTTCTGAGGTGAGTCACTAATTTTTTTCACTGAACCAGGTTGCAGTTTATTAATCAGCCTTAAAAAGAAGGAAATACAAGATAAAATGCAATCATACTTTTCATAAGAATGTGGGAAAAGTAAATTATGGACCTCTTTTACACAATAAAGTTTGACTAGCCTGTACTGAAGCTGTATACTAAGGGCTGATTGGTAATGGATGCAGGACAGGATGGTGAGGCATTGGTAACAATAGAGATAAGGAAGGGACCGGCTTATGGAAAACATTTTGAAGGGGAATATTCCCCTTAAACTATTGTTGTTATATATGGCTAGTTGCTTCCAATATGTGATATCTTCCTGGCTGCTGCATGGATACATGTGCTTGCAGCTCTGAGGGAATAATGTTGAGAGTAAAGTGTAAAGAAGCATGGGCAAATAATACAGAATAATGAGGCACTGGTAGGCATTTCAGGAATGGTTACAGAAATTCAAAGGTGGTAGAAGACACAGGGTGCAGTGAAAAATATAATTTAAAGGCATTGTTAGAAATATTCATGCACACACACAAGCTGTGAACAGCTTGCGACTTCTATACTTGGATTCTTCTATTGCTAGAATTGTATCTTGGATGTTTCCAAAATTTCTGCTTACTGGCACAGTATGACTCCATTTTTCAGTTCTTCCATTAGGTTTTCTGTAAGAGTTGCTCCGGTAACATCTTCAATCCACCTCCGAATAGCCTCATCTTTCTGTGGGTCATATTTCTGGGCAATCTATAGGTCACATATAAAATCAGACATTAAATGCAGGTGAAACTCTCAGCCACAAATAACTATTTCTTTATGTTTCATTTGTGTATCTACACTCCCCTTGATGCAATGGTACTAATCACCTCAGTTACTCTCTCCAGGAGCAAGTGCCACATTATCACTTTTTGGTTAAAGATAGATTCATAGAGTACAGAAGAGACCCTTCAAGTCTGTACTGCCAAAGCTACGTTAAATCTACACTGGTTCCACTTTCCAGCATTAGGCCCATAGCCTTGAAGGTTACCCATCTCAATTACCCTCCCACATAGCGCTTTCCAGATTCCCACCAAGCTTTGTGTGGAAGTATTTTTCCTCAGATCCCCTTTAGACCTCCTGTCTTTCATCTTAATATTATGCCCCCTTGTTATTGACCTTCTGACTAAGAGGAAAACTGCTGCTTTCTATTCACCTTGTCCATGCCCCTCAATGTTATACACTTCCATCAGGTCCCCCCTCAACTTTCTGTGCTTTAAAGAAAACAACCTGAGCTTTTCAGTCTCTTTTCAAAACTGAAATGTTCCATCCCAGGCAACATTTTGGTGAATCTTTTCTGCACCCCTCCAGTGCAATCACATCCTTCCTATGGTGTGGAGACCAGAACTGCAGGCAGTACTCCAGCTATGACCTTATAATCTATGCCATGATGATAAAGCCAAGTGTCTTGTATGCCTCCTTAACTACCATATTAACTCGCCCTGCCACCTTCAGGGATTTGTGGACAAGCACTTCAAGATCCTGCTGTTCCTCTGAGCTTCCCAGTGTTAAAAGAACATGTTTCTTTTAAACTCACAATTTGATTTTTAGTGACTATTTTATATTGATAGCCTCTAGTTTTGCTTCTTCTTGCAAATTTAAAGACTCTTTCTGTGACTATTCTATTAAACCCTATAATAATTTTGCAGAACTCTATTAGATCATCCAAAGGGTATAGTGCACAGGTTTATTGTCTCCTTGGTGAAAGATGTGCTTGTCTTAGAGGGTGCAACAAAGTTTCACTAGAATGATTCCTGAGATCAGAAGGGCTCTCCTATGTGTAGAATGGGCCTAAGTTTTCTAAAGTTTTGAAGTATGACAAGTTATCTCATTGAAATCTACAAAAATTTCAAAGTCTTAACAGAGTAGACACTGAGAGGATGTTTTCCCTGGTTAGTCTAGAAGTCTAGGATAAGCGGTCATCCATTTAGGACTGAGAAGAGGAAAGCAGCTGTTCATCCTGAGTTTTGCAAGTCTTTTAAATTCTCTAAATCAGAAAGCTGTAGATTCTGTATGACTGAGAACTTCAAGATTGTGACTGTTGATTTTTTTTGGTATCATGGGAATATGAGGAATATGAGGATGCGGTGGGAAAGTGGAGTTGAATCAGAACTTCAAATATGGTTCTCTTGATTGGTGACTAGGCTGGAAACTATAGTGATATTCCTCCTCCTGTTTCTTATGTTCTAAAGCAGTGGCTCTCATTTTACTGCCACCAACTATTTTGTCAAAAATCCCTGATCCACCATGATAAAAGCAAAATCCCACTTTTTTTCCTGGAAGTATTTTTGTTTTATGTTTATTTGCAGATCTGTATAATATTAACTATTTATGGAAATTTTTAGATATTAATGATTGATGATTTTGCTGAGAAGAAATTTAATTGCTGAACAGTAAAAAGAAACAAAATGAGACAGTGATTTAGTCATTAGTGAGAGGCCATTCGTTGCATTTCATTGACCTGCATGTCAATTCTTGGAGTTCCATCTAGACAGCCCCTGCATCTCACTGGTTGAGAAACACTTTGAAGAGACAGAGAGAATGACACACATAGTATAAAAGGGAAAGTTCGGCTGCATCTTCAGATAGAGAAATAAAGTTAATATTTTAGATTTGTAATTTTTCATCAGAACTGTAAAATGTTCAAAATGTAACAGATTTTAAACAAGTATAGTGGCAGAAAATCAGGAGGAAAGAACAGAAAGGAAGGTATGTGGTAGAATTGAAGAATGAAGTAATTAAATTGCAAAAGGCTTGACAGAGGCACAGAGTGATGAGAAAGCAATGGGAGCAGACAGAACTCCAGAACAGAGGGCCACTGAGGGGAAAAAAAAAAGAAGACAGATTCAAAACTCAATCTCAAATAGCCTGTGGTTTCAGGTCCAGAAAGCTTCTGGTGTAGAGCCTGGCATTAACTAGTTTCCTGTTCAGCTGCTTTGTCAATGGCGTGCTTTCTAGCTCACCCTTTGACTTGTTGCAATCAACCTCGATCTCCTAGTGTAGTGTGCTTTTGCAGCTTGTTCTTCCCTTAGTTCTATTAAATCCAATATTGCAGTTTATTTATCTCTTTTATTTTGTACATGTAAAGACAATGGATACTGTGGTCACCCATGCCAAAAGCTGCAAATAGGCTGAGAAAGGTAAAAGAAATATAGTTTACTACGGTTACTCCATTACTTTCCATGTTAGCTTCCTGAGGCTGAGCCAGACGGTTCATGGGTTTGGGATCTTACTGGACCCTAAGCTCTGCTTCCAATTCCACATCCTCTCCATTAGGAGCACAGTCCACATCCACCTTAGTAACATTGATTAATTCTGTAACTGGCTCAGCCCATCCTTTGTTGCATTCAGACCTGACAATTCCAATGCTGTCATGGTTGGTCATCTCCCTTTCACACTTGAAATGTGAGCTGATCCAGATTATAGCCCTATCCTAACTTGCACAAAGTCCATTCACCTATCATCCCTGTTCTCTTAGATCTACATGCTCCTCCAGTCCAAGCTTCTTGCACATCTCTAACTCCTTTTGCTCTGATGTGAGTGTCTGTACTTTTGGGTGTCTGGACCCTAAGCTCTGGAATTTCCTCCCTAAATTTCTCTTTCTCTCTGTTCCCCTCCCCTTCTTCTAAGATGCTCCTTAAAACTACATTTGACCAAACTTTTGGTCACCTGTCCTTATGTGGTTTCTTGTCACATTCTGTTTCTTTACACTTTTGTGAAACATCCTGGAATGTTTTGTAACAGTAGATGTTATAAAATACAAGTTGTTGTATCTAACCTATGCTGTACATCTCTATAATAAAGCAAATAAAAAGAAAGTTTAATTCTCAATGTCCAATCATTTGCAATTAAAATGATTAAATAGAATAAAATTTGAATTGCTGTGTTAAACTGAAGATTTACATCAAGAAAAGAAATTGCTGCTAAACCTTTCATTTGAACAAATTGCTACACAAATTGTTTGTGTACCACACTCTGTGGTAATGGGCTCAGTACATCTATCATTCCTTCACGTAATCTCTAACCTTCTTTGGCCTTTTGTACTCAGAAGGGGATGCCACTGTTGTCAGTGAGACTGCAGCTAAATGATTTTAATATTAGTCCCAGTGAGGCGATGAAATTGAGGCTATAACTAAAGTTGAAATGTTTATGAAACCAGGTTTCATGAACTGAAGTTCTCAAAACTGTCTCAGTTTTATAAACTCTGAAATTGCGTTAGTAGATTTTAAAATAACTAAAATAGATGCAGACTGGAGCCATGTGACCACAGCCATTTAACAATTGCCTGTTGGCTGCTGTTTATGTCCTGTGGAATTAATACTTTAGAGGGTTAAATGTCTTCTGTTTCTTTTTCACTGAATTTAAATCACACTTGTCTATCTTTATTTTGTTGAACTCTGACCATTTTTGACATTCATTTCCCAAATTCTCATTGGAACTTGATTCATTGACAAGCTATCTAATATTTAGAGGAAAGTTTCTAGAGATTGCCTTACTTTGATGCTAAAAGTGAACAGAGTAGAAATTGCTGGTGCTTTTCTGTAAGTTTCTAAACACAACCTTAAAATCACCTGAAAACAGTTAATGAAATGTTTTAGTGGACTTGTGGCTCATTAACCATTATCATTCGGGTAAAATAACATAATCCACACACTCAGAATTTCCGTACACAAAAAAAGGCTAGATCCTACCTTGCGATTCACCTCTGCTGAAAGACCATATGCTGGTCCCTTGTTGAAATGGACTGACATCTCTGAGCTGCCTGTTGCAAGTTTACAATCCCCATGCACCAGCACCTGTACTTGCTTGCATGCGTGCCTGCGTGCGTGCTTGCTTGCTTGCTTGCTTGCTTGCTGTCTCTCTCTCTCTCGATAGTTCTGGGAGTCCCATAAAATTTCCAAACTTTTCAAACTCTTGAATTAGTTGGGGGCTGAGAAATTTGTCCTATTGGTTCAGAAGACAGCAAATCAGGAAAGTCTAGCTAACAATTTCAGTGATGCCTGCCTATTGGAATTTGACAAAGTGTCGTCACTTTTTCCATGTTGTCTGTTTATTTTGGATCTGAGCAGAGATTGGTTTGATTTCACATCAGAATTTTAGAGTTGGACAAAAGAAAAATCGGAAATTTTTAAAATATCAAGAGGGTTTTTGCTCCTGAGGAAGACCAGCCAATTCAATCCCCATAAAGAGCCAGGTCCCAGTGAGCAGTTCCAGCATTTAACCAAACCTTTAAGTAGCTAGGCTTTGCTGAACTTCAGTATTTGGCAAGGTGACAGAGTTTTGTAGAAAGAAAAGCTCAATTTTCAGCAAAGTTATCTTGAGTTATTCAACACAAATAGGACTTGAGTGTTTAATCTTCTGATAGAACACAGTCAGCCTGAATTTTAAGCAATTCCTGAGCTATTTTAACTAAACAGCATCTGGAAAAGTGGAAAGGTATCAATGGTTATGACAGGTTAGTGGACAGAATAACCTAGAACAAAGCTTAATAAATTAATAATATGCAGGATAAGTGATGCTTCTTCATTCAAGTTCCTGGTTGAATAGAAATGCATTGAATAATTTTGAGTATCAGTACAAGCCAGCACTCCAGGAAATGGCCCATGAAGGAAATAAGTAGTTTGATTTTATTAATTCAGAGGTTGTGGATTTCATTGGCTGGGCCAGCATTTATTGGCCATCTCTAATTGTTCTTGAGAAGGTGGTGGTGAACTTTCTTCGAGAACTGCTGCAATCCATTTGGTGCAGGGACACCCACAATGCAGTTAGGGATTTCTACGACTTCGACCCAGCAACAACTGAAGTAGTAGTGATATATTTCCAAGTCAAGATGGGCTGTGGCTTGGAGGTGAATTTGCAGATGGTGGTGCTCTCATGTATCTGCTGCATTTGTCCTTCCGGATGATAGCGCCAATGGCTTTGAAAGGTGTTGTCTAAGGAACCTTGGTGAATTTCTGCAATGCATCTTGTGGATGGTACTCACTGCTGCCACGGAGTGTCAGTAGTTGAGTGACTGGATCTGATGTGCTGCTAAGCAAGTGGCCTGCTTGGTCCTGGATGGTGTTGAGCTTCTTGAGTGTTATTGGAGCTTCAGTCATCCAGGCAAATAGGGAACATTCCATCTTACTCCTGCCTTGAGCCTTGTACATATTGGCAGGTTTTGTGGAGTTAGGAGGTGAGTTATTCACTGCTCCCTAGCCTCTGGCGTGCTCTTGCAGCCACTGCATTTAAATTGCTAGTCCAGTTCAGTTTCTAGTCAATAGTGACCCCCAGAATGTTGAAAGTGGGGATTCAGTGATTGTAAAGCCATTGAACGTGAAGGAGTGATGGTTAGATTTTTTCTTGTTGGAGATGGTCATTGACTGGCACTTTTGTAGCATGAATGTTACTTGCCACTTGTCAGTCAAAACCTGAATATTGTCCAGATCTTGCTGCATTTGTACATGGACTGCTTCAGTATCTGTATAATGAATAATGCTATCATCAGTGAACATCCCCACTTCTGACCTTACAAAGTCAGAGTCATATAGCATGGAAACTTTGGTTGAACCAGTCTATTCCAATCATAATCCCAAACTAAACTAGTCTCACTTGTGCTTGGCCCATATCCCTTCCAAACATTTCCTATTTGTGTGCTTATCTAAATGTCTTTTAAACATTGTAACTGTACCCACATCCACCACTTCCTCTGGAAGTTTATTCCACACACGAACCACTCTCTGTAAAAAATTTGATTCTCATGTCTTTTCTAAATCCTTCTCCTCCCGCCTTAAAAATATGCTGCCTAGTCTTGAAATCCCCCACTCTAGGGAAAAGACACCTGCCATTCAACTTATCTACGTCTGTCATGATTTTATAAACCTATCTAAGGTCACCCCTCAAACTCCCATCCTCCAATGAAAAAAGTCCCAGCCTATCCAGCCTCTCGTTATAATTCAAACCCTCCGTTCCCAGCAACATCCTGGTAAATCATTTCTGAACTTTCTCCAGCTTAATACTATCCTTCCTATAACAGGGCGACAAGAACTTGACACAATACTTCAGAAACTCCTATACTCAAAGATCTGAACAATGAAGGCAAGGATGCCAAATGCCTTCTTAACTACCCTACCTATACGTGATGCAAACTTCAAAGAATTATGATGGAGGGAAAGTCATTGGTGAAGCAGCTGAAGATGGTTGGGCTGTGGGCACTACCCTGAGGAACTCCTGCAGAGATGTCCAGGAGCTGAGATGTCTGACCTCCAACAAACATCTTCCTTTGTATGAAGTATGACTCCAACCAGTGGAGAGTTTTCCCTGGATTCTTATTGACTGTGGTTTTATGAGATCTCCATGATGACATACTTGGTTGAATGTAAGGTTTACCAGTGGTGCTGAAAGTTTCTCCAAAAGATATTCCAAGGATGTTCAAGAGTTCAGTTGAGGTCCCAGTAGAAAACTGATCTGTAAAGAGACTCCGTATCCCATTCTCTGGAAATCTGGCATTTTAAATGTGCTTTGTTGATAAGATTAACCTATTTATGCTAAACATCTTTCTAATCAGAAATGCAACTAGTCACATCTAGATTTTCAGTAACCACAAATGGTCTGCGGCTATTATATTGGACAACAATAGACTTGACCGACTGACCATAATACCATAAGACATAGTAACAGAATTAGGCCATTTGGCCCAATGAGTCTGATCCATTATTTGGTTATATTTGATTTCTCAACCCAATTCTCCTGCCTTCTCCCCTAACTTTTGATCTCTTATCAATCAAAAAACCTATCTCTGTCTTAAATATACCAAATGCTTTGGCCTCCACAATCTTCTGTGGCAACAAGTTCCATATAGATTCACCACCCTCTGGCTGAAGAAATTCCTCCTGATCTCAGTTATATTGGGTCATCCACTCATTCTGAGGGCTGTGCCCTTGGGTTCCTGGTCTCTCCTGCTAGAGGAAACATCTTCTCCATGTCCAGTCTATCTAAGCCGCTCAGTATTCTGTAAGTTTCAATGAGATACTCCCTCATCCTTCTAAACTCCATCGAGTACAGACCCAGAGTCCTCAACTTCTCCTCATATGACAAGCCCTTCATCCACAGGATCATTCTTGAGAACACCTTCTGAACCTGCTCCAAGGCCAGCACGTCCTTTCTTAGATACAGAGCCCAAAACTGCTCACAGTATTCCAAATGAGGTTTGACCAGAGCATCATACAGCCTCAGCAGTACATCCCTGCTCTTATATTCAAGTCTCTCGAAATGGATGTCAACATTGCATTTGCCTACCTAACTGCCAACTGAACCTGCATGTTAACCTTTAGAGAATCCTGAACTATAGCTCATAAGTCCTTTGGTGCCTCAGATTTCTAAAGCTTTGTAGCTTACCAATTGGATGCAAAATTGCCTTGGTGGTAGGCGGCCTGTGACCAGTAGTGTTCCTCAGGGATTGGTACTAGATCCACTTTTGTTTGTCATTTATATAAATAACTTGGATGAGAATATAGGTGGCATGTATAGGAAGTTTGTGGATGACAGCAAAATTGATGGTATAGTGGACAGTGAAGAAGTTTATCTAAAAATACAAAAAGATCTTGATCAATTGGGTCAATGGGCTGAGGAGTGGCAGGTGGTGTTTAATTTGGATAAATGCAAGGTTTGCATTTTGATAAAACAAACAAGGGCAGGACTTATACACTTAAAAGTAGGGTTCTGGATAGTGTTGTAGAACAGAGAGACCTTGAAGTTCAGGTACATAATTCTTTGAAATTTGCATCACATGTAGACAGGGTGGTTAAGGTGTTTAGCACACTTGCCTTCATTGCTCAGATCTTTGAGCATAGGATTTGGGATGTTATGTTGAGGTTGCACATAATTTTGGGAAGGCCTCTTCTGGAGTACTGTGCCCAGTTCTGCTTGCCCTGTTATAGGAAAGGTATTATTAAGCTGGAGAGGGTTTAGAAGAGATTTACCAGGATTTTACTGGAAATGGAGGATTTTAGTCATAAAAATAGGTTGGATAGGCTGGGACTTTTTTTCACCAGAGTATAGGACATTGAGGGGTGACCTTATTGAAGTTTAAAAAAATCATGAAGGACATAGATAAGTTGAATAGAAAGGTTTATTTCCCCAGGGTGGGGGAATTCCAAACTAGGGGGCATATTTTTAAAGTGAGAGGAGAAAAATTTAAGAAGGACATGAGGAGCAATTTTTTTTTTTGACACAGAGAATGATTCGTTGTGGATTGAACTGCCAAAGGAAGTGGTGGATGCAGGTACAGTTACAGCATTTAAAAGACATTTGGGTAAGTACATCAATAGGAAATGTTTAGAAGGATATGGACCAAATGCAGGCAAGTGAGACTAGTTTAGTTTGGGGACATGGTTGGCATGGACAAGTTGCACTGAAGAGTCTGTTTCCATGCTACATGACTCTATGATTCTATTTAAAATATAGTCTACACCATCATTCTTCCTACCAAGGTGCATAACCCTCACACTTTACCACATTGTATTCCATCTGCCACTTCGCTTATTCTCCTTGCCTGTCCAAGACCTTCTGCAGTAGGGGAGGTGTTGGCCTAGTGGTATTGTCGCTGGGCTGTTAACCCAGAAACCCAGGTAATGTTCTGGGGACATAGGTTTGAATCCTCCCATGGCAGATGGTGCAATTTGAATTCAACAATTATCTGGAATCGAGGTCTGATGATGACCATGAATCCACTGTCAATTTGGTTCACTAATGTCCTTTAGGGAAGGACATCTTTACTGCCATCAGTAAATGGATGGATATAAACTGTCATCCTTACCTGGTCTGGCTTACATGTGACTCTAGACCCACAGAAGTGTGGTTGACTCTTAACTGTCCTCTGGTTGGAGGATAAATGCTGGCCTAGCTGGCGATACCCTCAT